TATATATATATATATATATATATATATATATATATATATATATATATATATATATATATATATATATATATATATATCCACGATCGTCCAGCGCCACGTCAGCACCACAGCAAATGATGTTTGGCACTGGTCTTCGATCGCCACTTCGGCCACAATGCGCCACGTCAACACTGTCGCCGTCGTCTTCTCACATCCACGTAATCATCTTTAGAGGGTAAGTGCGCGCCCGCCTGTCAATGTCTAGCTTGCGATTATAATCGCGAGCGTCTATAGGCGGGATTCATTAATCTCGCGGCACATCCCCCACTTACCTTGGCGCATCCAGGTGCGCAACAGCAGATCACGGTTAAGAAGGTAAGCTCCGATACCAAATATGTATTGAACCCAGTCTGGAGGAAACTCGTCAAGTGTCGAAATATAAGATAACTCGGCGACGATAAATGTCTTCACTAATCATGAAATATGAAATGTAATACAATGTCTCGTAAACATAGGACGAAGTAGGAGAGGGGGGGATTAGACTTAAAGGGTGGAAGAGAAAGTATCCATCAATGTCCAAGTAGATAGAACCCTCTCAATCCCCACTTCTTCTTCGGGCATCTCCCCACTTCCACGTCAACAAACAGTGTCCCATAATTGAGCCTCACGAGGTATGATCACAACATAGCGCCATGTAGGCACGGTTCTCCCATGAAGACGTCTTTGCAGCACGCAATATCGACAGCATCAACAGTTAAGTTTCCCCGTTTCTCACTCGACCAATCCCACAGATCTCAATCTCCCTCCTTGTCACATTCCGATCAGTATCCAAGATAGTGTGGCATGCGCCACGTCAGCAATGTCAAAACAGTGTGGCAAGTGCCACTTCAGCATCCAAGAATACAATTGGCACCAGGAGCAGAGAGGCGTTAGAATGCAAAGCAGCAGTCTCACATCGTCGTCGCACAATGTCAACGTAGAGTCAGCGTCTTGCCAGCGTCCAGCCAACGTCAAGCCAGCGTCAAGCCAGCGTGGTGCCATCGTCAAGCAGCAAGGCAAGACTGAATATTGACTCGCAGGGGATGGGTCAATAAGTAGTGTTGACGACATTGACCAGCCTCTTTTCTCTCACCCATGGAGGCTCAGATTGACTTACAGCCGAGGACCTGGATCTCGTACAGTTGCAAACTTCCACTTGGACCAAATGTTGTCTAGATACCTGCATACAACCAAGTGTGTGTGTCTGATCAGTCACCTGGATTGGGTCCCTGAAGACTTTGACTCGTGAGCCTCAATATTCCGAGACACAATTGACTTCGGTCAACCGTCGGACGTAGGACCTCTAAAACCACATTTCAGGGGTTTTCAAGTTGTTCCCACGGTCAGACGCAGGACCTTAGGGCCGACTTGTGGCCCCTTTGGCCAATAACATAAGCATATTTAAGTAGGTTATTGCAAGGGGTTGTAAATGGGTTATAAATTGGCTTGAAAAAAACTAACGGGATTTAAAGGGGGGCACCTTAGTTTAATTTTATTATTTAAACATACATTTTTAAATGATTTTTTAATATTTTTTTCAACGAGTAATTTTGATGTGACCCTCAGTCAAAAGTTGTTTGCAACTTTGCATTGCAAATCTAGGGAACATTTTTGGGGGGGATGTTTTTGATTTTTTTTTTTTTTTTTTTGCGCTGGGGCTATGCAAAACCTTGCATGGGGGTCATGCCCGGTCGGGCAACCGGACACGAATCCGGACATATGTTGGGTTCTTGGGCGCCGAGAAAGACAACCTAGCCCTTGAGTGATTTCCGATTTTGTTTTGCAGAGAGTTCAAAACATGAAGCAGGATTCGAAGAAGTTTCTGATGTGATTAATACTTGACTTTTTGTTAGGGTGAGCGAATGGGGTGAACAACTTGAAGGGAAGAACGATGGTTATAATGTGGAATGTGTTAACCATGTAAGGAGGGCATGGTTAGTACCGGTCCTATAAATAGGGATCATGAATACATTTAGAGAAGGATGTCCTCATTTAGGTTGAGGAGGGTAGTTAATCTCCTCATATTAGGGCAAACATCTCTTTAATGTAGTACGTCCTTGCTTCCATGTCACCGGTGCAATGCATATCGGCTGACCTCTTGTGGATGTGGTCCAGATACTTTGTCGTTTTCTTCACTGCCTGCAGATCTTAATGTCATTCTTTCGGCATGGTAAATAGCAGGTGGTTCAGAGCTTTGCCCATCTATTTCCCTGTTCTTACCACTGGTTTATTGAAAGTGGGGCAAATCGGATGATTTTTGTCAAGGTTTTTGTGCTTAGGTAGCACTCGTGATTAATGAATGGTCTCATTTTCGACGAATGTTTCACCGAAACTGCCATATTCTCTAGATTTTTTTTTTTTTTAATGATATGTATATGGTTTAGGGTATATCAGTATTAAGTTTCAACGTATTTGGACAAGTAACGAAAAAGTTGGCACAAAAGATAGGTCTTGCCAAATTCTCCTTCATTGTTCTGTTTAACAAATTTCTTTAGACCTGCAGATTCCACCTCCTCCCAAATTTCCCTGATGCTCTCCCTGGTTTTACTTTCCAAGATACAATAACTAGGATTGCTGACAAAGGTTTCCAACATCGCGTGGTAGTAGACCACAACATAAAATTTTCCTAGAATTAAATAATCATTCTCTAGTAAATTTACGTTCTAAATTTTAAATTTTTATTTCAGCTTAAAAAATGTCATTTCACTTTTAAAATTTTCAGTCTTACTTGAAACTTTTCCTTCCAAGAATAGGGTATCCCTTCTGATTTGGACTGCATGCTAGAGTTGGAATGAAAGTCTGAATGAGTTCATGAAATATTTTAATCATAAATAGGTAATTCAATTTAAATTAGAAGGTATTTGTTGTACTAGAATGAAAGTTTAATTAAGACATCTCATAAACTCGTCCAGACTTTCATTCCATTTCAACAAATAAATATAGTTGGAAGGGAATGCCCATTTTTAGACGGAAACTTAACAAATAAAACTGAAAATTTTAGAATTTGACGGATATTGGAGTGATAATTTTTAAATATAAAGGATTTTTTATTAATGAAATATTTTTTTAACTTTTATTTCTTTTGGGAGTTTTTCTGTTGCATTGAACATATGGCCAACATTTCTCCTGGATTCTTATCCAGCAGCGTAAGCACCAAACCCTCCAAAACATGTTTCACTTCTGCACTTCACTCAAACTTGGTTTCTCAACGTTAACTTTTGTGAATGTGATACATACAGTTAACCTCCATTGCTCCTCTATCTCCTCTTCCGGAGCTTCTTCGTCTTCTTCACCTTCATTTTTTTAGGTATGAGAGAGAGAGAGAGAGAAAGAGAGAGAGAGAGAGAGAGAGAGAGAGAGAAAGAGAGAGAGAGAGAGAGAGAGAGAGAGAGATGACATTAAGACTCGTTGATTTTCAGGCATTGCTCGATTCAGTGACATTGTGACTGGAGGTTCACGTTGTATGAGCAGTGACATTGGGGATAAATTGAAGACTGGGTTCATCAAGCTATGGTGGTTGATCCTCTCTATCTCATCCTCCATTTATCTCTTCTCTTTATTACCTCAGGTGGTCTACCTTTGAGGTCGTACCAGGAAACAAAGTTGTTGTTCACTTCTTTACTGAACATATTGACCCGGTCTGCTTTTGTTGCTCTAAGTGTATTGTTGGCATCTGACAAACGTAGATGTTTATCCTTCGCCTCACTAAATATGAATCGCACATGCCCACCCACTCGGGGGTAGGGCAGACCTACGATTGCAGGTTAGCACCTCACGAGCCATAAAAACTCCTATGGTCTGATTTTTAGTTTGGACGATACGAACCTTCTTACGTGCTCGATTCCTGAAGCAGACCGGTAGTTTGCAACTCTCGATGCAACCGTTAGCTACTTTATGTAACTCCATCAGTATATTAATTCTATCGTCGAGTTTGGTTTTAATCACCAGGTCATTATAAAGTATTCTACTGAAGTCATAGATAACGTTGTAGAGTCTCAAAATCAATTTCATATTTCAGTTGTAGATATCTTCAAACTTATGAAGGTTTTTCAAAATCTTGATGAATATTTGTTTCAGTGTTCATCTTTAAGTTCTTTAAGCTTTCTCGATTTTGACCCGATACTTGACTCCCCGTATACCTTGCTCATCCTTCTTCTAATGTGGTTGTCATGTGTTTTCCCCACTCGCCTCAAAACTAAATTATTGTGCACCTTTCTCATTATATCTAGTCAAGATCTCAAAAAAAAACAAAAAAACAAGACCAATGCCATCGTCCTTGAATCTCATATAAATAACGTCGGACCCGGTGACAATGTCTATGGGCAACAACACGTAGTCACCCAACCCGATACCGTTCAGCCACATGTAGAAATGTGTGTAAGCTCTCGTGTTACTCGATAGTATATGTTCCCTCCTCCTCACATTAAACTCGTGATTTGTCTTTCTTATGTATTGGAGTTTGCAAAAAGGAGTCAAAGCTATGTATACACAACATCTCAAATTCATAAAATTTGTTTCATAGGTACCGAATAATCTAACCAAATAATTAAGAATCTTCTTGTTCGAATATATCTCACAGCGAAGAAAGAGGTTAAAAACACACAAACGCATAAGTTCCTCAACATGTATATCTACGTCCTTGGACTTGCAATGCAACCCCGCTAGAGTTTTCACTAGACGTCATAGTCTATCCGTCAAACCGTCACGTTAAACGTATGCCTCGTCCGACTCGTCAACTGTTATATCCTCGGTAATTTTCATTACCTCTGGCTATATAGGCACGACTTCCTCGAAGTTGTCTTCTATGATGGCTAGCAATATTGAAGATTGCATCGATTTTTCTGGTATAAGTGATCCTCTCATTCTTACATGATATTGTTTGGAGTTCGGTCTTGTCCATGCCTCTGATGTCTTTCACGACTTGGTTACGAAACCTCAACTTAGCCACCATTCCTCCCCCTATAGATGTCTTCATCGTCTCAATGATAGGAGACATCTTCGTCCTAACTTTCTTCTTTAAGCTTGTCATGATTGACCAGTTTGAGTTTTTTCGATTTCACGGTTCTCTTAACCGGTGTAATCATCGGCGGGTTGTCCCTAGGACCGGTTCCGGTCCCCGCTTACACTTTTCCTCGATAGTTAACTTACCCGTTTTTTTTTTGCAACCCCTTCAAGTTCGTACTATCGTCGCTACTCTTGATCTCGGAGCTTGAGTTCTCCGAAGATTCGCTCACAACCGTCTCTTTACCTTTCCACTTTACCACACTTGGTTGTTCTTGGAAGTACTTTGCCTTCAATTTGTCACAGAGCTTGCCTATCTTGATGGCCACTTTCACCTCGACGTTCTTGGCGGTGGTCGTCATCCGCTCCTCCTGTGTTTTTGTGGCCCTTTATGCCGCCGTATGTTCGTTGTTTGTTTTCTTTTCCTCCTTAATCCGCAGTTCTTTTGCTTTTTTAGCCTTCGTGTCTACTAGCTCCTTCTTTTGTCTTTTTTTACTGTCTTTCTTAGCCTTAGCAACCTCAGGCTGCACAAATTAAGTTGTTGATGCCAAGCTCTTCCCAAGCTCTCGTAGCTTGGAACTGACTTTAGGATCTTAGGATGAGAAGCGTCTTGAATACGGTCGGTCGTATTTTGTTGGAGATGCCGATCTCCCGTGCCTTGATTCAGAAGAGCTCGATAGACGGCTATAACTAGGCCGCCTATCCCTGTAGGTAAGTCCTCTTTGTGGCGAATCGCGATGTCGGTCGTTGTGTCTATCATCTTCGTGTCTCGGTTGCGAGTCATGCTCCTTACGACCTACCATCTTCTCCTGTGAAATTATCAAAGTTCGACATAAACTCCGCCCGCTGCACATCATGTGGATATCCTCCACGACGCAATATACACTGCACGTCAGTTTTTCAATGTCACGCCTACTCCTCCCGGTATTGTCCTCTAAGTAAGTTCATGTGTGAATGCACAGACTGAATTGCTTTGTCAATCTACGATTGTCATTCTGCAACCTATGATACAAAACTTGTTGAAGGCATGTAGTACTTGGAAAAATGAAAAAATCAAGAATACAGTAAAAAGGCATCCCTGATGCTGCGTTTCGACGACAACCACGCCATCTCCTTAGGGGGTACCCACCATCTTCCCCAACTATGCAGTCATTCCTCGCACCCACTTTCGCTCTAACGAACGATAAGCAATCCGGACTGCTAATCTTCCCGTCGAACATCAGCCATGAAAGGGATTACTAACTT